TTAGAAATAGGAAAAACCTAGAATTAAATCCCACTCCTATCAGTTTTGCTATAACTTGTATTATATTGCCAGTTGGTCTATATTTTTATCTGGGGCATTTTGCTAATATTACAGTGATGAATCCCAAACCTAAGTGTGAATGTATAATCCTTTTAATTCCATATTCATTCTGACTTTTTGATGTTAGGAAGTTAGGAAATATTTCTTCAAAATTACAGAAATAAATGCCTTCTTCCTCTGTGAGACTACCAAGACTGTCTCAAGCACAGTTAATCATTCCTCCTCGGTCACAGCCAGTTTTATCTTAGTTTTTTAGTCATATTCAGATAATTGCTATTAGTCTGTTCCTCACTGAATTGTGAATTACTCAAGAGAGGTGTTGGCAGGCAGCGCCTATGGCTCAAGGAGTAGGGTACCAGCCTCATATACCGGAGGTGGTGGGTTCAAACCTGTAACCAGCCAAAAACAGGAAAAAAAATGCATATACATTGGGCGGCGCCTGTGGCTCAAAGGAGTAGGGCACTGGCCCCACATGCCGGAGGTAGCAGGTTCAAACCCAGCCCCAGCCAAAAACTGCAAAAAAAAAAAAAAAAAATAGAGAGGGGATGGATCTTACTCAGCTTTGTAAATGCAGTATCTTCCTCATAATAAGAGGTCAGTAAACAGCACCACACACAGGGCAGAGACCCTGTGCATACAGGGGGTGTTAAGGGATTTTTTTTAATAGTTTTTTTCAGATATAGCAAGTAAGTTAATTTACCAACTGACAAAGTGCTGTAAATTTTTTAAAAATTAACTTTTTTGGTGTTGACTTTAACTTTTGTTGATTCAAGTAAGTTTTCTTAAAAGTACTTGTTTCTTAAATCTTTAGTTTCCTCATCTATACAAATGTTATTCCCTATTTCTATACACACACATATACATACATAGAACATATATACATCTTTTAAGTTTTTTGTGGAATTAATGAGAGAATTCATATACTGCATCTACCCTGGTTTCTGGCAAATAGTGGGCATTTCAAATGTTAGGGAGATGGAGACTTAAAAAAGTTAATATGATAAACAATATGACTTAAAAAATTAAGAAAACTTAAGTATTTTAAAATAAGGAGACAATTATGAGAGGAGAGCTTAAAAGAGGTAAAAGTAGCCATGCATGGTGGTGTAGTAGACTTTTTCATTATGAGCCAGCCTTTTCATTATTTTTTAAAAAAGCAAAGTATACATTTTTCATTAAATTTAACTTCACATCCTTAAGGTAAACCATTATCTATTATAAGGAGGAGTGGTCTTTTCATGTTAAATAACACAGTGAGAAACCTAATAATACAATGAGAAAACCTAAATAGTATTTATGTCTTAAAAATCGTGTCCATCATTTTCTAAGTTAATCTGCATGGTAAAGCAACACAGATTAAATATCAAAAGCACTAAACCAGAATCAGTTCTTTTTCTCTCCTGTAGAGTACCCAACAGAAGTGGTAAAGATGCGTAGCAACAAGATTAGACAGAAATGTCTGGAAGTGTCCAGAAAAAGAGCAAAGCTGTTAACAGATCAGCACCAGGGAGCCAGTGTTTGATAACAGACCCAGAAAGCCAGCATCCCCACAGACAGATTAGTCTGAGGCCATTTTAACCCCTAGAAGGTGTCATCTCCTTTCCTTTCCCTGATTCTGTCTTACGTGAAATGAAAATAACGTAACAAGTTTAAGTTCTCTCTCTGGTTTTTATTCTCCTGGACAACCAGAAAATAAATTTACTAGCAATAGTGGAAGAAATATCACAGTCTCTCTTTGTGAAATGAACAAGATTTATTCCTGTTTGTCTGATTCCTCTAGCAGTGAAAGGACTATGGATCTGGTTTTGGAAATGTGCAATACCAATTCCATCCACTGGTGTGGAATTTCAGGGAGACAGCTTGGAAAGCTGAATCCCAGTTCTTCTCTCTGCCTTGCCCTCACTCTCCTGTCTTCTGTACAGGGACTGCAGGTATGTTTCCTTTTCACAAATTCTAATACACGAGCACTGTCACTTATAGTCATTTATTATGTCCATGTTTTCCCTGAATGAATGACAATTTAGGCCTGTATCTTTTTCTCAATAGAGCATCTCTGGCTTAAGACTCACAGACACATTCTTAAAGAGAACATATGAATATGATGACATCGCCCAAGTCTGTGTGGTATCTTCGACCATTCAGGTGGAAAGCTGAAGAAAATTTCCAATGTTAAGTTTTTCATTTAGTTTCTCAGAACTGCTTTCTGTGTATTTTTGTCACCTTTGTAAAATGATCAAGTCAACAAAAATATATATTATTTAAATTTGTCCTGTAAAATAGTTAAAATATTAAATATTTGTTTTGAAAAGAACTGTCTGATTTTATCTTGAGTTATGTTCTAAATGTTTGTATATTTTCTACATATGGTATCTTTTTTCATTTTAGATGATTATTTAGATCATTTGTCCCTAGCAAGTTAACAGGCGTCCTCAAACTACATTTATCCGGCCTGCAAAGTGTTTTTGCTGCTGCTGCCTATCCTGCTTAGCAGCCGGCTCGTCCCGGAGCCTGCAGAGCCTGCAGTCCGGCCCTCCAACAGTCTGAGGGATAAGAACTGGTCCCCTGTTTAAAACATTTGAGGACCCCTGATTCTAGAACATGGGTCAGCAAACTTATGTAAAGGGCAAGATACTAAAAAATGTAGGCTTTGTAGGCCATATGGTTTCAGTCACAAATATTGAATTCTGTCAGTGCAATGCAAGAGCAGACAGTAGGCAGAAAAGTACAGCAGTGTTTACAAAAACAGGCAGCTGGCCAGATTTGCCTTGCAGGCCGTAGTTTGCTGACCTCAATCTAGAAAATACAGATGTTTCTTTGAAAAACAGAATTCTCTGGCTCGGCGCGGCGCCTATAGCTCAACCAGCTAAGGCGCCAGCCACGTACATCTAAGGTGGCGGGTTCGAATCCCCAGCCCGGACCCGCCAAAACAACAATGACGGCTGCAACCAAAAAATAGCCGGGCGTTGTGGCGGGCGCCTGTGGTCCCAGCTACTTGGGAGGCGGAAGCAGGAGACTCGCTTGAGCCCAGGAGTTGGAGGTTGCTGTGAGCTGTAATGCCACGGCACTCTACCCAGGGGGACAGCTTGAGGCTCTGTCTCAAAAAAAAAAAAAAGAAAAACAGAATTCTCATAACTCTGCTTAGAAATATTTCAGTTAACTCCAGTATTTTTTTCTAGCTCCTAAGTCACCAGAAGTTTGCTTAAAATAATTGGGGCAGTCCTCCTATAACCTGTTATTTTGCTAACATAAGTAAGCTTTTCTAGTTTTTTCAGAATTACTGTACTGGTATGTGTCTGTGTTTGTGTATACATACAAACACACAATTTCACTTTTAGGTACTGAACAGCAGAGCGGAATTGGTTTCATTTCTTAAGTTATTGATTATTCTATTTACTTTTAAAATAACCCTAATAATTTTCTAATTCTGAGCCCAACATTCTTAGAGTATTTCTCATTGAAAAATAAGCCCCTTATTTTCATTAAGGCATATTTAAAGAATTCCTTGCTTCTGATATTTGAACTCCAGTCATGTATTATAAAACATTCTCTCCTTGTAGCCACACTTACTTATGTCATGAACAAAGCAATGACAAGAGTTAAGCTTGTAAATAACTTTGCAACACGAACATAACAAAGAGTTTCAATATTTTATCACAAAAACAAAAGCTTATTCTATTAAATAAAAGCTATCCTATTTTGGTACATTAAGTCAAATACAAAAATTGGTTTATATTAGATGCATAATTATTTATTGCCAAGACAAATTGATCCAAAATGAAAGATACATTCAGAAGATTTGCACCTCAAAATGGAGTAATAATTAATGAAATGTTTGTGCAAAATAAAGTGCAAGCATTGTAAAATTGAAGTCTTTCTTTCACAATGATTAAGATCCATTAAATGATGAAATAAGACTGTATAGCCACTGCACTGGGTACTTTAATGACTTTTCAAGCATGTCTCATGGCTGAACCTTCTATTTCAATATGTTTAAATTTTGGGGGGGGGCAGAGGACAGAGTCTCACTATGTCACCCTCAGTAGAGTGCCATGGCATCACAGCTCACAGCAACCTCCAACTCCTGGGCTTAAGCAATTCTCCTGCCTCAGCCTCCCAAGTAGCTGGGACTACAGGCACCTGCCACAACACCTGGCCATTTTTTTGTTGCAGTTGTCATTGTTGTTCAGCTGGCCCAGGCCAGGTTCGAACCTGCCAGCCTGGGTGTATGTGGCCAGCAACCTACCCACTGAGCTACAGGTGCCACCCGTCAATCTGTTTCAAATTTTAAAAGTAACATTTACTGGTCACTTGGAATCTATATACTTTGTTGTATATACTTTGATTTCATTACAGTCTTATCTGTTTATAAGCAGTTAACATAGACACATACCATTCATACTTTTAAGTAAAGGCTAGATAATGGTATCTTTGAAAGAAAGGATAGGTTTAAACTATATAAAATTAGATAAACAATTTGAACCATTTAATGAAAGGGACACTTGCATATAAAGGACATGTTCACTTTTACATGGCATCATCACTAGTAGCTACTAGACTGAAATGTGGTTAATGGAAGTCAAGCATTTTGTAGAATTAAAGATTTAATGCCCTCTTATTTCTCTAGTTAAGTAGCAACTATATTTTCCAAACAAGCAAGAAAATATATGAAACATTCCTTATAATTTTTTAAGTAGCTCGCACAATCCAACCATGCCAGACTTTCTTGAAATAGCTTGCAAAGCAGTGATTCCAAAGTGATCAGAGTGTCCAAAGAACAAAAATGCCTTGAACAGAATGGAAATCTAGGTAAGTGGACATCTAGATCAAATTTGTTACTGGTGGTGTATTAGTAAAGAAAACTAGAAAAATAAAATGGAAGAAATACAACAATTCCCACTGCTTCATGTAAAAAGAATAGCTAAATACAGATAATAGCATATGAAGATAATTGTTTTAAAGTATTTTTTCTTATGTCTTTTTATCATGTCAGATTTTGTCAGGGTAATAACTTATGTCAGATTTTATCAGGGTAATAACTGGCCTAAATAAATTAGGAAGTATTTACTCCTTTTGTATTTTCTGGAAGAGGGTGTGTAAAAATTGATCTTTCTCTCTTAAGTATTTGGTAAAATTGACCACTGAAGTTACCTGAACCTTTTCTGTAGAGATTTATAACTAATTTCAACTTCCTCACTAAATACAGGTCTATTCAGGTTATTTCTTCAATGTGCTTTGGTAGTTTTATCTTAAAAGGAATTTGTTTTCTCTAAGTTGCTAAATATATAGATCTAGAGTTGGTCTTAGTGTTTTCTAATTATCCTTTTAATATCCATAGTGTCTGTACTGTATCTCTTCTTTTATTTCTGAATCTGTTAATCTGTACTTTGTACTGTCCTAGTCAGTAGCTAGAGGCTGAGCAATCATATAAATCTGAAAGCATTTTTAATGCACTCAAGACAGTTATCCTAGAAACTTTAACTTCTTAGTCAACATTGGATAAGAGTGACTAATTTTTAATTAAGGATCTACTTTGCTTTTTTTTAATCACCGTCATAACTTGTATATGATTAAGAATCAGCCCTTAGTGTTCAAGTGTGCTACAGCATGAGGGATGATTCCTAATGATGATTCCTACAGCATGAGGGATGAATCACACTCGAACACTAAGGGCTGATTCTAACTTCATGAAAACCCAAGCTGGCTTAGATGGAATACTAGAGATTTAATCTCCGAGGGCCTAAAGATTAAGTCCCGCTCTTCAATGGCCAGAACTATGGGTTCATATATAGATCTTCATGTTAGCCTTAGGGGCTTAGCATTGGCCGATCCAAGTTAGAGACCTCTAACCTAGTGTTGCTCTAAATTAGAGTAGTCCTTGGATCTACATCAGAACTACGCAGTGTGCTATTTAAAAAGCAGGCCTTATTAGGGGACCTACTAAATCTAAATTGAAGGTGTGGTCCTGAATCTGCATTTCTAATGATTTCCCTAGATGTTCTTATAGTGTTATCATAGAACTGCTGGCTAGTGTCATGAAGAGTAAAAGAAGTTGGTTTTTAAACTTCTAAATACCAAATAATTAGTATTTAAAAGAGAAGAGTTATAGGAAGGCTGGACCATTACCATTATTACTGATATAATTTCATATTACTTCCTTTTCAGTTTTCCCTCACAATACTTGTGAAATCATGTACTCATCAGCCCCACTTCACTAATTTCATGATTAATAAAAAAATTCCAGTTGGAATTAGAACTGTCTCCTCCATCACTGTAATTAAAGCCACACCATTAATACCTAACACAATTTCTCTTAACTACTAATTATGGCATCTAATTTATTATAAAATATCTTAAGTCTCCTGTTACGTTTAAATTGCATCAAATTTAAATTATGTTTAGCATAATACTGGCATGCCAAGCCAAACTATTGCGGAGAATTACATGAACAAGCAACATTAGTCACAGATGTGTTTTGCTATCCATCAAATAATTAGTAAATTTTAAAAACTCAACATTTACAGGCACATAATTAAATGTCACTTAGAAAATCCTTAAGACCAAGCCACTAGCTCATTTAAATATAGCTATATTTGATAGTTTCCAAGGAAAAGGTTACCACTGGGGAAATTGTGATAATTCAGTTGTATCATTGATCTAACCGGGACCCTTAAGGATTTCTAAATGTATTTTATTATGTACTTAGCATTAAGTGGCTATGCTAATGTTATCCACACCAAACTGCAGACAAGATGAGTTAAGTACTATGCAGAAAACCTGAGCATCCTACCTTTGCTTTCTATACATTCCCATTATCTATTTTCTTCTTTTCATAACATCCCTTGCACTGAATTCTGCCTTCTACCAGCTCTTAAGATTCCCTGTCATTCATCACAACAAACAACATTCAAGATGATACTGGCTGCCATGTTATGTATTCATTACTGATAGCACTTGTGAAAACTAAACCTAGATAACAAATTTCTTCTCTCCTAAAATGCTGCTCAATGGCAAATATATTTCTTCTAAACTAGCATGGGAAACTTTTCCTTTTGGTCATCTCCCTGCTCAGAAAATTGCTTACGGGAATTTAGAGCTGAAGAATTCACCAATAAACAACCAGGTTGTTCAATAAATATACTCTGCTACTAAGTCTAATATACAAATGTGATAAAAGTCTGAAAATGGAACCTTGTTCCAGTGCTATATTGGCACTTAACACAGCTACTGATCATTTGTTTCCAAAGGACTCATGAGTGTTTTGCTCAAGTCTTTCAACGATCAGATATGGTGTTTTGTTTGTTATTTTTTGTTTGGGGGTTGGGAGGAACTATCTACAGGGCCTACTTTAGAGCCATAAACCACTGGCATTCTGGGCTAAGGTCTCTGGTCAAATCAGGAATGCTCTTCAGTGCTGCTGCTGAATGATCTGCTCCGGATGTGATTTCTCAGTTGCTCTATAAGTTCAGGATTCTGTTGTTGTATCTGCTGAGCAAACTGCTGTCCCCTATAGTAAAGAGGCAAAGTGGTATGAACAGGGAGTTGATTGCCAGTCAAATAGTACCCATGCACAAAGAACTACAGAAAATACCAGAACTACCTAGAAGGAGCTTTATCCCTAGGGTGGGGGGCAAAGGGGGAGAGAGGGGGATTGTTGTGCTCTCCACCTTATGGGCACAATGTGATATATGATACCACACCTACAAGAGGGACTCTACTTAACAAATGCAAACGTTGTAACCTGTTTGTACCCTCACATTAACCTGAAATTTAAAAAAATTAAATTCGGGGCAGCGCCTGTGGCTCAAAGGAGTAGGGTGCTGGCCCCATATGCCAGAGGTGGCAGGTTCAAACCCAGCCCCAGCCAAAAACTGCAAAAAAAAAAAAAAAATTAAATTCAAAAATAAGTTTTAGGGTGGCACCTGTGGCTCAGACTCATATACCGCAGGTGGCGGGTTCGAATCTGGCCCCGGCAAAACTGCAACAAAAAAATAGGGCATTGTGGCAGGCACCTGTGGTCCCAGCTTGGGAGGCTGAGGCTAAGAGAATCGCCTAAACCCAAGAGCTGGAGGTTGCTGTGAGCTGTGATATCACAGCACTCTACCAAGAGTGACAGAGACTCTGTCTCTAAAAAAATAGTAATAATAATAAAAATAAGTTTTAGAACCACACTTAGTATCTGGAAGTTTTCCAGTGCCTCTATATAGCATTATTACATTGTAGTATTCCTAAGAAATGTCCAACCTAAAAAAGGAGTCAGAAATCTACCCCTCTAGGGCTTAATCACAAATAAGCCACTGGCTAGGAGTCTATGCTTTTATTATGTATGTTCAAATACAATGTTTCTGTGGTCAAGTCCTAATGATCTCTCATATGACAGCTGTAACACCCAGTTAGGGACGATTATAGATGTCACCTAACCATTGATTTTAAAAATGCAATGAAGTTTAACACAAATTCCTGAGTGTGAGGCCCTTACTTGCAAGCGTTAGAGGTAACTATAACCATGCTGCTTAAATTCTAAAAATGCAACATTCTAAGTGGTCACATGGCTTGATTGCAAGCAGAAAATGGTTCTTGTGGCTTCCTATAAAATTTCCAGTAACAGCATCAGATACATATTCAAAAAACAAAGTTCTCTTGAGCAATTTGGATGGAAGAGAAGATAATATGCCCAAGTAATAAGATGAAAGGCGTTTATTTAAAGGTTGACAAGCACTGAAAAAGTCTGAATACTTTTCTCAATTGTCTGAATATTAAAATATGTAGCATGATTTTAAATATTTATGTGTACCAAATTAATATAGCTCTTAAGTGGATAATTAACTTTCATCTGCTTCCCTGAGTAATTTACTCAAGTCCACCAAAAAAACTTTTTCTTGTCTCTTAACTGGGAAAAATGGGGGATTAATTGCTTTATGTAGGAAGTCACAATATTCAGGTTTGTGTGCCATTTAAAATAGTGTGTAATTTAAACTGCACACAAACTGTATGGCCACCCTGTATTTGGATATATGATTTTTACTGTTTTTCTCCATGCCCTCCAAGGTACCAGGTTACCAATCCTTAGGAGACTCTGTACGTAAGGTATGGATAGTATGGATATCCCCACCTAAGAAACTGAGGACCCTAAGTACAGACTGACAACATAATAAAGTAACAAAAAATGAAGCTGCAAATCCAAAGACTAAATGTGGATGTAGTTATTTCATGGATACTCTTAACACCCTTAGTAAGTCACTAACTAACCTGTATGTTGGTTTCTCTAGCCATTGAATAGGGATATAAATTACCTATTCTTCTAATATCTCCCTCACCTGCCTTATTGAGCTGGTTACTAAAAAAAAGAAAAGCATATTGAATACACATAATTACTTTTCTCAAGAGACAGAGCTGGCCAGACAACCCAAGTCTGTATTCCTTCCCCTTCAGTCTGGTAAGTGATCCAAATCTATGAACTTAAGATTTAGTAACTTAAAGGGGACCAGTGATACTAACAGTAAAAGATAAAAATTAGAGAAAGTCCTGTCCCTTTACCTTAGAGACAGACTATAAAACATAACATATATTTTTCGGTACTTTTTTTTTTGAGACCAACTCTTATTCTGTTGCCCTGGGTAGAGTGCCATGGCATCATCGTAGCTCACAGCAACCTCAAACTCTTGGGCTCAAGCAATGCCCTTGCCTCAGCTTCCCAAGTAGCTGGCACTAAAGGCAAGTGCCAGCTTGCATTACTATTTGTATTTTTAGTAGAAACAGGGTCTCATGTTGAGGCTGGTCTCCAACTCCTGAGCTCAAGCAATCCACCTGCCTCAGTCATCTATTAATTTAGATAAATAAATAAATAAATACTTACGCTTGGATGAGGCTGGACAGGTCAGTTAGGCCCCCAACTCCAGCAGCAGGTCCCCCAATGGCATTTGTCATCATTCCTGACATTCTAGAGTATGCAAGAGATGTATCACTGCGACTAGCATATAGTCTTAATAAATAACTGGTTAAGGAAAATTCAGTAAAATATACCCACATTATCTAAGAACTTAGGTCAAATATGTATGGCTTTAAGTCAAAAGTAACTGGCTTTCAGGGTAGTTTTGTCATTTTTGAGTTCAAATTAGGAGCCTGGCAAGTAAGTAAAAGGGGGGAAATGTAGTAAGTTCCTTTTATATACTCACAGCTGTTGAACTTGAGGGTTCTGCATTAAAGTTGCTGCCTGGAATTGAGAAACAGCATCTACCATTAAAGGCAGTTAAATATTCAGGGATCTTAAACAAGGATTTTTGTAATACAAGAATGACAGCTAAACCATGTATGTACTAAAATTTTGTAGTTTTAGTGTGTTATACAAAGTAAATGGGAATGTAAAATAGAGGAGACAGTAGGAAAAGTGGCATTAAAAAGACAATGCAAGGATAAAGAGACCACAAACACTGTACGTTAAGGTTACCGACAGCAGTTTACTTATGGCTACTGATCAAATCAATTAAGCCAAACGGAAAAATAGAAATTTTAAAGTATATTTAAAGAATTTTCAACACTTGGGAGGATCCACTCTAAAACACTTAAAAATACTCTTAAGAGATGTGACTTTGCTCAATGGGGCCCAGTAGTTTCAATTCTCCTGTACAATTATATATTTATATGTACATATGCTTTTAAAACTTTATCTTGAAAGCACACCTACTGTTTTTTTATTTCAAATTGGTACTGTCAACAATATCCATATAAATTTTTATTTTAATCTAAACCTTCACAGACGGTAGTTAGTTTTCATTTGCTGAACCTAAATGAGGCATTTAGGCAAAGCCACCACTTGCTTTTATTACCAAAAAGATAGAACTTGAAAATAATTTAATAACTTTCTTCAAGTCTCAGTCCAGATTGGTCCCTCTCGCCAACCCATGAGTACTAGGGGCATTGCACAGGAAAAGCAGGATTTATGAGCTTTAAACATAAAGCATTTCATTTCACAGTCCCTTTAAACCTGTTCTATGAAAGTAGTTCTTCCTCTTCTCCCAGAATCTAGGACCTAGAAGAAGTTTGAAATAGATGCTCTAATTTTTCTGGTTACTTTTAAGTAAGTAGTCCTCCTGACACTGTAAGTTATAAAATGACCTCCAATTCAGTAGTTAATGTCTCTGAGTAACAACCAAATATATAAAACAGCTAAGTCCATAAAACAGGTGAAATGTTCCCTCTCCCCATCGTGGGCCTGCTACAGATCAGGTAGTTGCAGGTGGCTGCTCCTTTATCTATAGTGCTTCTGGAAATCCTTCCTTCCCTAGCTTTGTGACCCAGAGTTCTGCCCCTCCAAGGTCAAGGTTATGTGGAGGAAAAAGGAATAAAGGAGCAGGAGTTCTTATTTGTTGACTGGTAGTATCTTACTAGTTTTGCATTGGTGCTCTTTGGGTCTGCAAGGTGCTTAAAAGTACCCTGGTTCTCTCCAGAGGTACTTTCTTTCTGAGGTTCTTCAGATACTTCTCCCATCCCCATGCCCCTGGGGATTTCTCATCTACCCTCTCAGAAGGGTAATTTACTCTCTGATAAATGCTCTGACTTTCCCTTTAGTGTCTGCCTCCAGAGACTCTTTGTGTTGGAGTCCTGTCACGTTCCAGGAAGCACTCTTGGGCACATTTAGACAAACTACCTCACAAGTGTGTGCGCTCACCTTGGTCCACAGGAAACACACCTCTGCTTCGCTGTTATAGTAACCACTCAAACCACACAGCTAATTCTGCCAACTGGCTTTTTTAGCTGGCAAGTGAGACACACATCCTTTGGCTTTCCAACTGAGGGCCAGACAGAAAACTCTCTGATTAGATCAAAAGAGCCCTTTCTCAGTGGGCTTGAGATGAGGACAGGCCTCCCTACTTCCTTCAGACATGGAACACTGGAACTCCAAGAGCTCTCTCTAAAAATCCTTTTTTAATCCCGATGACCTTTCTTAAGAGTCACAAAACATGTTTTTTAACCCCATTTTTTGCAACTCCTACATGTGGTCTCACACCCTATTTTTGTACATAGCAGCTTGGAACCTAAGTCAAATCTGAAACTAAAAGAATTCCCTTTTCACATCCTATTAAATACCATAACCTGAGAGTTCTGGAAATGGGTAAGCATGTTTAAAAATGTCACAAAATCTACCAGAAAACACATTTGGTAGCATGTAGGTAGGAAAATGATGATCAAACTAAATTTGATAAGGTTAGAAAAACCTACCAATTGCTCAAAAAACTTCATTTCACTGGGAATGAGTCATCTGTGCAATCTGTGCATTTCAGTTCAACTGAAAATTTAATGGATGCAAGACACATTTTTTTTTGAAGGAAACAAAGATGCATAAGAACTGGTTCCTGCCTTCCAAGGACATCTCATATGGTAAAAGAGTTTTCATCCAACATATAGAGTCACCCAAGGAACTTGACATGCCCAGGTAACATCCTAGACCCACTAAGTCAAAGTTACCACCTATTGGACCAGAGCATGTACCTCATATCTTTTCAAAAGGTCTATAAATTATTTTGTGAAAGAAGACCATATATTTATGAGACATACTAAGAGTTCACATAAACTCTTTTTTTTTTGAGACAGAGCCTCAAGCTATCCCCCTGGGTAGAGTGCCATGGCATCACGCTCACAGCAACCTCCAACTCCTGAGCTCAAGCGAGTCTCCTGCCTCAGCCTCCCAAGTAGCTGGGACCACAGGCACCCACCACAATGCTCGGCTATTTTTTGGTTGCAGCCGTCACTGTTGTTTTGGTTTTGTTTGTGGGCCCAGGCTGGATTCGAACTCGCCACCTTAGGTGTATGTAGCTGGTACCTTAGCCAGTTGGGCCACAGGCACCGAGCCCACATAAACTCTTAAGACAGAAAACAAGACAGATGCTGCTGAGGGGCCAGCTTAGGGAACCATTATGACCAAATACTCTGACCTCAATTGTGAGGTATCTTTCTAGGACTATTTAAGAGAATAGTTTTTAATCTTTCATATATTTGCAGGCCCCTGTGGCTCAATATGATGAAAAATATGGTTCTCTCCCCTAGAAAAAATGCACATATACACATATGTACAAATTTTTATATATAATTTTGGGAAGATCCATAGGATTCCTGAAGTCCACCTGTGCCTTTCCCACAAAGACATACACGGACAGGTTAAGAACCCTGCCACAGTCTTAAGTCAAAACTCTAATATGATCATCACCACAAAAGATCTCTTGTTCCTAAAAAGTTTTGGAACTACATAGCTCAGTGGAAAATAGAACCAACAGAGCAAAAAAGAAAAGAAAAGATACTCACCATACTAATGAAGGCTGGATTATTTATCAGGCCAGCCATGTCAAAGCTCAATCCAGTTCCTGTCTATAAAACAAGTATATCTGAGAATCAGTCCAATCACTATAATTTAATTATACAATACACTAAGAATGACAGTATTTCACTCATTTGGCATTAACAACTTACAGGACTAGATACCTCTCTTAACTTCTGTTCTGCTATTTTCAGATTGGATTTATAGGAATCATTTTCAGGATCAAGATCTAATGCCTTCTGATAACTTGTAACCGCTTCTTCAAATTTATTCATTGCTGTGAGGGCCAGCCTGAGAGGAATACAGAATATAAGATATATGATTAAAGAACATCAGGACACCACAAACAGCCAAACGTCTGTCTTGGATTCACTTCTAATCCAGATTATACTTAATTTATTCATTGTATTATGTTCAAAGAGTACCACTAAAATTTCCTCTAATTCCAAGACTCTGTTAAGTCTGAACTCTCTCCATTCTGCAACAACCTATGAATCACGAACTTAATGCTCAGAAATAAACCTTACCTGCCCTTCCATTTTTCAAGCCTAATATGTAAAATAATTGAGGTATGAATGCCTAGAGTGAGCGCCACAAAGATGTGAGCTAACAATCTTGTGGTCATGTGAATCTCTGATGCACACTGAGCAACACAGCAAGGCTCTGTCTCTACAAAAAAGAAAAAAATCAGCCAGGCGTAGTGGCATGTGGCTATGGGCCCAGCTACTCAGGAGGCAGAGGCAGGAGGATTGCTTGAGTCCAGGAGTTTGAGGTTGCAGTGAGCTATAATGATGTCACTTTACCCTAGATCAGGCCACAAAAGTGTGAATCTGTCTCAAAAACCCCAAAACAAAAATAAAACCACAATGCTAATACCATTTTTAAGAACTCTGAAGTTCATTTGTGCTTCAAAATGTCTGACATACTTTTTTCTTCCTAACAGAGACTTTGAGGAAAAATAAGTACAAATTTTCCGTTAAGAAAAAAAGGGGGGAGCTTAGCACCTGTGGCTCAAGTGACTAAGGCTCCAGCCATATACACCTAAGGTGGCAGGTTCGAATCCAGCCCAGGCCCGCCAAACAACAATAATGGCTGCAACCAAAAAATAGCCAGGCATTGTGGCGGGCACC